AATATAATTAATATAACTAATTTCTGTATAAAGTGTTTTTGATTTGTAATGTTTTATCTTCTAAGACTTTATATTAAAAGAGTAAAGAAGTTATGTAGACCTATAATGAAAAAAAGAAAACATACATGTTAGAAAACAAATAGCTTCTTCATTTAGGAGTAGCCTGAAAGTTATTCTTACCTTTTTGACACATGCATATATATTTTCCCCCCCATTAGTTTGGTTCAGAGTGAAATTACATACAAAAGATTCTAAAACACAATTTGAAAAAAAGAAACTAGTAGCCTTTTGGTTAGAGCGCTATGCAAAAAGAGAAAATGGAAAGCCTTTGACAGTGGTGTTCGACATGGCTGATACTGGACTGAGTAATATCGTAAGCATTTTTTAAATTATTTCATATTATTGTTGTGACTTGAAAATTGAATTTAGATGGAACAGCCTTATATAATACTCTTGGTAGAGTACTTGAATTTAAATTAACTATTTGCCCTTTGGCATAAATCTTAAGTATTCTGGATTGACTGGATCTTGAAACACAAATAAAGTTAGCTATTTAATAAAAGCTAACATAAGTATTCTATTTACTTAATAGGAGAAAATGATGTAATCATGTTTTCTGGTTTGTGAAGTCCCATGGAAATCTATTTAAGATCTGATAAGCAAGTCAGCATTGTATAGCTGTTGGGGAAAAAATGCATTTGTATCAGTCTTGTGATGAGACAGTCAAGTGTTTTCTTGTGACAAGTCAGCAAAGAGCTCATGAGAGTGTATGCAGGATTCCACATGGATTAGTTTTTGTTCTCATTGCAAACAATACAGTCTCTCAAAGGGTTTTATTAAGTCTGCATGCCCAGTTAACATTTTAGGTAATTTGAATAGATTGCTTCAGTGTATATATATTTAACAAGATTACTAAAGGCTCACTTTCAAATATTTTTTTCTAATAAGTAAATACAGTTTTGCTACTACTGATAAATACATGGAAACACTTGAAACCCCAACCCATTTCTAAAACTCCCTGTACCTTTAAAGGTGATTTTTGGGAAGCTCAGCACTCAGGATGCTAAACAAAATATCTGCTGACTTTTTATCAACTGATAATCTGCTTTTATTTTAGGACTTCGACTTTGTCCGGTATATCATTAGCTGTTTCAAAGTATATTATCCTAATTTCCTCAGTAAGTACGAAGGCATTCAAATTAAATCAAATCTTTATTAAGGCCATAAGGTCAGCAATTTGATACAGATAAAAATGAAACAAATGAAGCTGACAAGTTTTCAGTCACAAGGAGAGATATGGTACATAGAGAGGCAACAAGCAAAGTCAATGGGGGAAGCTGGATTCACTTAACAACCGTGGTGTTTCCTTAAGGACTGCAGCAAAAAAGGTTGTAAAATTGGAAGTGACTCACTTGACAACCGTATCACTTAGCGACAGAAGTTTTGGTCCCAATTGTGGTCATAAGTCGAGAACTACCTGTAACTTTTTTTAACCAGATTTACTTAAGTTGTTCTCTAAGATCCAGTGGGCCAGACCCACTAAGACAAAAGTTAATTTTAGCCAAGGCATTGTTTATAACCACTCCATAGTGCTAGAAAATATATTTTAAAAAAAACTCTTTTTTTTTAGAAATTAGGAATTATTAAAATAATAATCCTGAAGAGAGAGAATTGAAAAAAAAATGTGGTAGCAGTTAAAACTTAACAAAGCACACTTCTTTTTGTAATAAGCTCATGGAAACAAACTCTCTTTTGTTCTTGCAGCAAAAATTGTTATTTTTGAACTGCCTTGGGTAATGAATGGTGAGTAACAATTTTAAATTATCTTCAGAGAGTATCTGAAAAGGTGTAGTGAAAGTTAATATTTATTCAAATATTTTTGATATCATTAGTGGTAGGTATATTCTTATGATTAAAAGTTGAATTGAAAGCATGAATATATTTCAGATTTCTATGGTTATTTGATCTAAGCCACCAAATGTCACCTATAATTTCTTTTAATTAATTTACATACAGTACTATGCAAAAGTTTTAGGCAGGTATGAAAAAATGCTGTAAAGTAAGAATGCTT